GAGCGTGCAGAAAATTGCTAATGACAGATGTTTCTCCACACTGTCACACTCCTTGTATCATTTGATTTGGAAAGCAACATACGGTGTTCTGCTCCATCAGTATGTCACAAACTGTCTGCAAACAGCTGGTCATAACTCAGTTCAGTGAAAACCATTAGTTTCCAATGAAGTGCTGGACATGATCCAAATTGGGTTTTGGCATGGCCTCAGCTGCACCCATGATGCAGTGTGGTCCAAGGTGCGGGTATAAGTGGAGAACTTTTTTCTTTGTTGCTATAACACAGTACTACAAAATCCGTGTATCATTCGAACTACAGTACTTTACCATTGATATCCCTGTTTATCATTATTATTTATTTTTTAAATTACATTATGTTTCATATGTTTAGATACAATAATTGGATAAACTTTATCTCAGTTAGCCACATTCAACAGATGCATTTTCAACTGCACAAACACAAGTCTCAAGATAAAAAATAAGAAGCAACTGGAAATAATGTATTTTTTGTTTAATGCTGAGGTGTAAAGGTATCTACATTATATTCGGCTCTAAATCGCTGGCCAGAAAGACTGTGTGGTTTGCCAGGACATCTCACAGCTCAGCTGCTGCCTGTATGCAGCAGAAGTGTTATCCACACCTTCCTCCATCTCTAAGGATAATGCTATAATATCATTTTGTGTCTTTCAAGTCTGACTATAAGTCACTGTTTGGCCCGAGGGGTAAACATTTTAACAGCTAAGCAGCAAAATACTTGACAGCATATGCTCAATTAATCAAAAATCCTTTGTACCATTAAGTTCAAATGTCATCGAACACACAGTCAGAAGAATTGTATTGTTCATTATTCCTTGATTAAGTTAGTGATTCTTGATGATACAGAAACAGAAGTGTATTGTTTGACCCGTGCTCATACCTGGTGCTCTTCTCTCCTTATCGACTGTGTCCAGTGTGGGATGTTTGGTTGTGTTCCTGACTATCAGAACACATTGTCTTAATGAAGACAAATGTGTGTAGTGGCGTGGATAAATGTAGTCTTTGTGTCGCATTTTGGTGGTTTTTCTGAAACGAGAGCCTCATTGTAATCAGTCTGATTCAGTCACACACTGACAGCTCCACAGATCTGTGTTTAGCACATCAGCTTCAGTGACCGCACTCACTGCACTGAGCAGCATTATATACAGATACAAAATATCATCAGCTACATGCACACTGTTTTCCATTCATTATGTTTTACTATACTCTATGATTTTAGTTTTATATAGTGTCATGTGTCATGTACAGTATTCTATTCTTTACTGTTTGTATATAGATATACTGTGCAGATCTATGACGATTCATCTCAAGGGGTTTTCCTTAATAAACTTAAACTTAAACTAAACAAATCAATGTCCTAAATAATAAATCAGGACAACTTTGTTCTTGCACTGTTTGTAATGATAAAAACAAGTCAATATACACTTTTATGCACCTTTTAACTCTAACTGTTTAATAACATGTCAATAAACAATCTACTGTTTCTATATATATTATGTTTATTGTACATAATATATCCTGCATTAACATGTTTACACATTTATTTCTTTTGCACAGTCTTGAGTGATTCTATCCATGCCAGATGTGATATGTAAATTTCTCCTGTATGAAATCAGTAAAGTCTATCTTATACAATAATACTGTACAATAACTCTATTCTCAACATCACCACAATAATGGAACTGTCCCAAAATGTAGTTTTATCTGAATACTCTTATATCCTTATTAGTTACATTGTATGTATGTCCAATAAATACAGGGGCCTATGTTGGATTTTATTATATAGGCTTGACTGTGCACTTTGCGGCTGAGGACTTTCATTATCTTCTGGCAACTTAACATGTAGGATTGTGAAGATAAATCCGGTCTTTACTGCACATTAAGCCGCTCAAATCGTTTCTGCGTAGCACAATGATGGGTTGTTTAGCCACAAACTGAAAAAAATGAAGCATTGTTTGTACTTTCATACTTGTTTGAGCATTCGGCACAACCGTGAAGCATGCTTTTCCTCAGCCTTTTAATAAGATTTTGTTTAAGAGACATGACTAATCGGGTTCTCTCGTGCCTTACACTACAGAGCTCTGCTAAGGCTAACATAACTAATAACATTTAATGCATCTTTTTAGTATGCCTGTCTTCTCCTGCCATGACCCAAAACTGACAATTGTGTTAATTAGACCTGATGAGATTAGTAGACACAAATTTATCTTTAACTACATTTAAGTGATAGGAAGAAGACATTGCCCTTTGAGTCATCCGCTCAATCAACGCTAATGACTGTAATGCTTCTTTGAATTTAGCTCCTAATACATAATAATATAGCATGAGAAACCATATCTTAACATTTGAGTATAGTACAAATGCAGTTAGGGTTAATCTGGAATGCCCTTGTGCTTTTATGCTTGTTGACCTTTTATGTGATCTTTAGCCAATTTGATCATTAATGCAAAGCAGGATTTTCGACCACAGTAATTGGGCGCAGTGTTTAAGTGCATTATTATCATTTCTTTCCTCCCCCTGTTTCTCTGTAAGTGTAAAACTGGTGCATTTGGGATGCAGAGGCACGTATAAAGGTAATCTCAAAGCCAGTTGAGCCATGACAAATAGGGACAGCTGGCCTAATTGAATCATTTGAACTAAGACAGCTCAACTTGGTTATCCCCTCCACAGCCCACACTGATATTAGTGTGAGAATCATTAGCCATGAAATCATGTCTGCTCTCTCCGAGTGCATCCTTTACGACTTGACAGCAGGGCCTGTCTCTGTCGCTCCCAAACCAAGAAGTGCTCTACTTCATAAACAAGCGGCTGGGATAATCACTAAGTGGGATGTCTTTTCCCTTTCATAGACATTTGTTCTAGTGAAAATAATTCATCCAGTGCAGTGAGCAATAACGCTTTGTTTTTCTACTTTGTGACAAAAGCCTGATTAGTGTGATATGTACAGTAACAATTTCTTATGAGAAAAAACTATTACAGTGCAAACGCCAATTATCATGACCATGATATCAAACATCATTTCAGTAGTAGTACCGGTAGGAGTATACTATTATTTAAATGTTTCCGGCATTGTCATGCATTTGAAAGCATTGAAGGCATTTGTCTTTGTGAATGTAGAGGTTCTACACCACAGAATGAATGGATTCTTTACTATTGGCTATAGTAGGCAAACATAGCACTGCGGGGTGAGGCAGGAGCAGGGTGCTCTTGTGCCCAGGCCCCTCCTGTCAGGCAGCCTGTTTCAGTAGTTCCACTCAGCGGGACGCCCCAGACGTGCCAGTAGGTGCCACAGCCTCAGAGCTGTCTGGCTGGGAAAGGCACCAGACTCTTTGCTGAGAGTGGTGATGTTGGCACGTATGAAGTAGCTTCAAGAAGAAGCTACAAACGGCCGTAAAACCTTTTTTTTTCTTCTAATGAGCGTCCATGACAAAGTGTGTTGTAACATAATGGAGTTCTGACTGGGGACAGTTTAATGTTCAGGCTCATTTCTTCTGGCCTCACCGTCCCACAGGTGACGTGACTTCAATGATACGGCAGCTTTCCCCGGTGGCAGTGAGCGATGCACCTCCACAGTGAGGGCCACAGGGCAGGCACATGCCCCTACACTGCTCCAGCGACCAGCACACTATCAAACTCACCAGGATAATGGAAGGTTAGCAGTGACAGGCCTGTGCCAAGTCTGATCCAGGTCTGAGTCAGGTCTGAGTCAGGTCTGAGTCAGGTCTGAGCAGCAGGCACACATTCATACTAGCAATGAGCCACGTTTTTGTCACTCGCATTTAGAGCGTTTGGGAACTCCCTGGATATTCACACATCATTAGAGTTCAGTTTACAAAAAAAGGGAAATGATACAAACAAAATACAAAATGATTATGTACTCCCCCAATCTGTAGATCTTTTGTTTGTTGTTAATTGTAGCGCTTTAAAACACATTTATCCTAAATATTCCTCAGTAGCCCTTAGAGACTATAGGGTGTGACAAACAAATGGAAACACACACAATAGCATAACAATATTTGAATCTTTATTTGTCATAAATATTTCACAATGACTATTACGTGCTTCATTTGCCATTTCTGCACAGTGAAGAAAAAACTGAATTTTTATAAAGTCGTTAGTAATGGCTGGTTTTATGTTCGCTCAGTGCGATATGAGGAGAGGAAGAAAAGGCAGAGAAATTTGTTGTGTGGCACAGACACGTTACACAACAGTGGTAATGAAGCATTGGCAGAAAGTGTTAATTATTTTAATTAATGATAATGGTTTTAATGATTCAACATTTTGGCTAATTGATTATGATTGATTGCACACTACTAAACAAGGAAAGTGAATCAGGGAGGTAATCAGGGAGATGACAGCACAGGTCAACACTGCAGCGTGACGAGCCGTACACTACACATGCTAATCACACTCAGAGAGGGAGCGACACCACGCTCGCAGTCAGGAAACACTTTTATTTTATACCCGGACAACAGCTAATATAACGCCACAAATGCATATAGTGCCATGTTTATGAGGAAAAAAATCTTGCATTTAAATGTAATACTCCTTAATTAAAGCTTCTTACTATTTCTTAATATAAAAAATGCTCATGTTTTTGGAATCATCAAGTTGACAATTTCTTATTAATGTTTATCGTCGCTTTGAATAATTTGATTAGATTCAATGTATTCTTCAATAGTGCTAAATCACAACAGTCGTTATCTCGGTGGACTTTACACAATGGCTGAATTCGCCAACACAGATCCGAGAATCAAACAGTTCCAACGTAAAAAAAATTTTTTTGAAAGTATCATTGAAGACAACAGCATGTGGGTGATATCCTCCTGCCCTTTGTTCATTCTGAGCATCAAACCCAGGTGAGCGCTGCCACAGACCCCTCCTCACCTTTTCAAAGCCCTCCTGTCATACACACTTGTCATCAAACTCTTCTCGAGGCCAGCTCTTGATTTTCCATCTTTCCCCCTCACGACCTGAGCATCCAGATCCATGTGTGCAGCAGGTTTCTGAGTCCAAACTTACGCCCGGTGGAGATGGTGTCACATGATAACTTGTCCCCTTCATTTCTCTTTGGAGTGATGCTGAGTGGAGTGCTCTTGTGTCTTGGCCTCTGTCTGGGCCCCTTCACCCTCTTCCCGCCCCCGTCTCCTCTTCTTCTGCCCTGGGTGGAACAGACTCAGGGGACGGGGGCCTTCCTTTGAGTGGAAGGACCAGTTTGAGTTTAATTACTGAAATGTATGATAATGTGATTTCTTTAATAGAATGACATAGTCTAATGGTGTTGTGTGATTATGATTAATACAGTACTTTGGGAGAAGAGAGCAGGAGCCAAGGTCTAAATGAGGACCCGCTCTCTCTCCAGTTCAGAGCTGGATATATTTCAGCTTTGACCAAACCTCTGGATATAGACTTTTAGGACAGGCCTTTTGTATAAATAAATGTATGTTTATATATCTTTTATGTTAATTTACACATAGATTTAGATAGCGCCCCGTTTATAGTTTGTTGCAACATATTATAATGATATTTATGTCGACAATTTTCTAAAGCTTTGATACATTTTGATGGGATTTTTCACTATAAAAATTATATCATGAACACCGTGGCGGCACGGTGGCTGAGTGGATAGCACTCTCGCCTCTCAGCAAGAAGGTCCTGGGTTCAAATCCCGGTTGGACCAGGGCCTTTCTGAGTGGAGTTTGCATGTTCTCCCCGTGTCTGCATAGGTTTCCTCCGGGTGCTCCGGTTTCCCCTACCACTAAAAATATGTACAATAGGTATGGCATGTGCCTCCTGTTCTGGCACCCCCACTCCCAAAAATAACAATTGTAAACCGCTTTGAGACTCCGATGTGCAGTGAAAAGGCGGTATATAAATAAAGATTACTTACTACTTACTACTTACTTTACATTGTGAAAGTTTATTCAGTGCACTTCTGTGTGTGTGACAAGACGTTTCATGCTCTATGATTGTGCATCCTCATTTAGAAAAGAGATCCGCTCTAACTTTGTATTCATTTTTAAGGGTTTTCACCACCACAAAATATGACATAATAAATCCAGAGGAAGTAGTCAGGGTGGAAACAACAGTTACAGGCGTGACAGCAGCATTGACATTCAAACATTACTCATGGTTTTGGAAATACCCAAGTGGTATGTGCTACAGTATTGCAGATTTGCAGTTTTTCCCATGGCAGAGCCTCAGTGTGTGAATATCCGTGTTCTTGCCAAAGCAGGAGTCTTACCTGCCATAAGGTATTTGTTTAATTGTCTGGCAGTGGTGCTTACCATGTTACTTTGGATGCTCACCAGTAAGACAGGTGTACAACAGAATGTACAAGACAGGGAGAACTCATTTACCGGTATTGGCAATCTCACATAAAAATTATTTAGTTTAATTTTCACACTTTGGCTATTAATATAATAGTACGTGTGAAAATATGTGCTTCAGCATCTGGCATCTCATGTGTACACAATCAGGGGAATGGGGCGAGTTTGTTCATTATTTTATTAAATTTCTCACTTTTTATCCCTGTTCTATGTAAAAACAAATATTAACATTAGTATAAATAATATATTAAAAGCCATCGAACCAATGTTTGACACAATGTAAGATTCTCCCAGACATAAATCATGTATTGACTTGTTTACACATACTGTATGGAACTAAGACGCCACATGACCTGAACGCTTCTGTATAATACATTCAATCCGCATTTAGTGAGGCAAAGGTGTTTTTTGTTCTTTTAAAGAAAAATAAAATAATAAATATTCATAATGCTAGTTTTTTTTACACTATCAAAACTTAAATATACAGGCCAATAAAAGACGATGTGCATTTATAGGGATTTTCCATTTTCCACAGGAATTAGGAGCACATGGTTTCAGAAATGGAAACCATACTCTGCTGGAAAATAATATATTAATTTGAAGTTACATGTGGAGGTTTGTGTTAAGGATCCGACATAGGAGAATGTTTCCATACTCTTCTTTTGCCCCCTTTTGTGTCACATCTGATCCAAATATTAGGACTGATCGTTCGTATAGCCTGATTGTGTCATGTGTCTTTGGTGCCAGGTTCAGAGGTGACGCTCTCCTCTCAGATAAAGTCTAGTGGAGTGGCAGTCGAGCGAGAATCATATTATCTCTGAGGAGATAAATGCAGTCGAGTGAAGGAAGAGGCTAATGATGTGGGTAAAGGCCATGAGGCTATACCTGCGCTAAATGTTTTCTTCAATGCATTTAAACTAATCGCTGCATAAATTGTATACAGTTTGGCTTCAGGAGCAGAAAGGGCTGAAGAGGAGTCCTTGTTATAGGCCTGAAGGTTGTATGAAGGACAAGCTGTGAAGATGTCTAGAAGCAGAAGTGAGGCGAGAGTTTGTGCCTAACCGTTTGTCACTGTGATACATGCTAAATGTGCTAATTAATACTGTAATGTAACTAAACCCACTGTGCAGGCACTGTAATTAAAACTGATGTACCTACTTAGCGCACCAAGCATCACAGGTGGGCCCAAATTAATCCACAAATAGAACTAAATTGCCTCAGCTTAGCGTTTTCGGTCAACGTCACTCATCAACTCACTTCGGGGGGAAATATTGGTAATTAGTTCTGATATAACAAAGTCGTACATTTGGGGTTAAACGCAGCCTTGACAACAGACGCAGTGACAGCGAGAGACCTCCTCGAGCTTTTCCCAGATGGGATCCTCCAAGTCTTCTCTGTGGAAAACGGTTGGCTTGCAGACGGCCAGACAACTGTGTGGATAAGACAAGAGAGGATATGCAAAGAGAGTCTTTCGGAGCAGTCTGTTAGCCGTTTATATTTGTGGAAATGAACTGGAGTGGAGGCTGTATTCTGGGCTGCAGATCGGAAAATTGAGTGATTAGTTCTGGGTGGAGGCCATTGAATTAATGCATTTTGATTGTTTCTCTGTGGCTGCTTGTTTAAATGAGTTTGTGCTCAAAGCTGATATGTTGTTCACTTTTTGTGACGAAATTGTCCCATTTGCTTTATATTTCAACCAGCCTCAGCCTCTCACGTTCCAAGGGTCTAATTAAAAGTATGACATCATATAACAGTGTTGTGCTTGACACTAGGGATAATAGATTATCCCTTGAAGTGAAACAAAATCATTTGTTGTTTGTACACAATAAGTGGCACAGACATTGAACCAGAATGTGGATAATATGAGCGACTGAGGAAGTTACACTCTTTGAAAGCAAACTTCTCATTGTTTGCTGTGTTTTTCTCAAGCCGCACGCAGCTATTGTGAGGCAAAACTAGTCGATTAAACTAAATGACAGTCAAATCAAAGTAATAATCACATATTTATGAATATTTAATACGGTCATGGCAAATAAGGAAAGTAATTAGGAGTTTCCATAAATTAGCAAATTGTTATTTTATGTTAATGAAAGATCTTCAGAATTTCTCTCATGCATAATTTATAAATCAACAAGAAAAAGTTTAAAGAGTGAAGGACGCGCTGAATGTGGTGTTGATCAGAGACACACATGGACGACACACAAAGGCTCCAAATTACTGCTGTGGATTAGTCTCACATCATTTACAATCAGTTTTATTGTATTTCATGGAAAATTAAGTCTTTTCTCCTATATAATTGTCTTTGTTCAATGGTGGACAAGCACACACACACAACCGTCAGAAAAATGTACAAACCAAGTCTAGATTTGCATTAATGACCATTGTTAGTTTTGCCTTCATGTCTCGTTGCTGTGATCAGTTGGATTGCTGGAAATGGTTGGAATTCCCAAAAAATTATGAAATTCTGTCAGTAATTGTAGTGATAGAATACACATATTCGAGGCACAACCTTCATAAGCCTGGTTACTGCTAGTTTTGAACGAGCAGTAAAACGCTACTGAAAAAATCGGAATTAGAATGTTCTGAGAAGTTTAATGTACAGATTATTTATTTATTACTTGGTTCCCTTTTTTCCACTTTTGTCGGTTCTAGATTTTGTAAGGTTTGCAATTACTGTTTATGCAAAGAGTATTTATTTACGGGTTTGATCAATATCTCTGCAAGACATGGCTATTTTATTTAGTAATCAGCTGTAATTTGATACAGAAAATACATTCACGACTGCGTTGTGAATTTTGTCAAATATCGGAGAAAGCGCGTAGGTGTGGCTGGAAGTGCAGTGAATCAGAAAACAGGAGCAAAACAAATCTGTGATCTGGAACTGTGAGAGGAGCGGGATTAATGAGAAGTAGGAGGCTGTGAAATGATGTGGCCTTTGAGTGGAGAAAATGGCCCTAGCGGAGCATGGCCATCCAATGAGGTGAGACAAACTTCACCTGATCCACAATTAACGGTGGTGCGCGGATGGGTGACACCGGGTTACGACGAGGAGGGGGGCGGAAGCTGAAAAATAACAATTCAACTTGATGACATGTTATCAGCTCTGTAAAAAGGGCGAGCATTTTAAGGTCCCAGTCCAGAGCAGGATGTGGTTAGGTTTTACACACCTGTCTTTCCCAAGTCGACAGTTGGGCTGATGAGAGCAAAGCTTGTTACAAAGATTTATGTTTAATAAGGACAGACACTGGCTGGGGATAGGAACAATTAACAGCAGAGCTAAACTATAAATAAAGAAGTGGAGTGGAAATAGAGTTGATAGTACAGAGGGTGAGGAGCAGGAACAGGAGCGCGCATGATTAAGTAGTGTTACGGACCGAGAACACTTGTTTGCAAGGACAATCTTTGTGTGCTTTTGTTGTCGGCTGGCCGTCTTTATCTTTGTGTAATTCTGCGTCTGATGAAATGTGTTTAAAGAGATGAATTGGGATCGGAGGAGCCGTCCTGACATGATTATGAGGGATTCATCTGCAGCCATCTGCCACCGTTATGAAAGGAGAGGGGGGGTGATAAAGCGAGGAAGACAGAGAGGAGGGAGGGAGAGAGGACCTTCTGTTCAGCAGCAATGCCACACAGGCACCATTACACAGGTCTGTGGCCTACAGTTTGACACACAGGCCAGGTCTATCAGCAAGTGTGAGCTCAGAGGCCAATATAAAAAACAGCAACAAACCTGCTTATTTGTTTATGTTTAATAAAATCCACCAGCCCCAAAAATGACTTACAGGGTTCAATGCAATGTTGGCCACATACAATTCATTTTTATATAGCCCACAACTCACAACAGCTGTCATCTTGGGGGACTTTATAACAAAATTGTCAATACGCCAACAACAGACTAGAGAATCAAAGACACATGAGACGCAAAGGATCTATTGGTCCATGAGGTTTCAGCCTTTATAGCCTTCATTCTTCTCACTTTCTTTGGACCATAAAAAAAAAAGATATGGTTTATATATGTATAAACCATATGTTTATGTATGTATATGTATGTACAATATTGAGCTTAATTTTTTGGGTTTTTTCTTTGTCAATATATTCAACCTGCAAACCAGAACTAATGCAGTAGTAGTTTATATGATTAGCCCATTGTAAGTGCTGTGTATACTCAGTTTTCTCCCCAGGTAGCACTGCTCCACAGCTCAGACTTGGAACCTCCAGACTACATCATATTCACACACCAGTTGGAGGAGAGGGCACAACAGATGGGTCCGTTGCTCATCACAACGTCCACTTGTTCTAAAGGGGTGCGCGGGGGCTTTAGACGGCATGTCTTAAATCGTATATAGTCACCAGATAAAAGTCACACATTCATTTATTTTTTCTCAGGTTGCTTGCTTCAGCATCACATTTAAGATTTTTTTTCACACCTAAAACACACTATAGGCATATAAGCTGAAGTCCATGGACAAAATGTCAAATTAAAATAGAATTTGTCTCTTCCAGTAGAATGTGTTGGCTCGCATGGAGAATCACTGATGCATCTGTGTGGGCATTTTCTATGGCGCCTAGCAAACACTTATAAAATCAAATCTCCTTCTCATTTCAATCAGTGTTTATTGACAGCTGTCTTGTTTTTCATCCCGCCATATTTTAACAAAGCAACCATTTCCTCTTTGCCCCATGTGACTGAGCCATCACTTCTTATTACAGGTCAACTCTGCGGTGCTTAATTACGTGGCTGTGGCTGGGAGGCGCCTAATAACCTGTCATTGAGGGGAATTTGAATGTCATACCATATTGTTGGACCCTAATGGCAGCAGGCAGATCCATGATGAGTCGTTTTGGGACAATTACAGCAGATATTCAAATCACTGGGAGGGGTGTGTGTGGGGTGGTCAGAGTCCTTCCAGCACACACTTGTAACTTGACCCTGCCATCATCACACTAAAGGAGATGCCCCTATCCTGCTTCTAATACTCTAACTGCGCTCTGATCTCCTTTATTATCTGCCTAATCCAGATATCAGCCGTTTCATCAGCCACAGGGAAGATATGCATATCATGAATTATTTTGACACTGGGACCTTTTAATTTTCACCGGTAATATTTCATCCAACCAATCAGAGAGCGGACTGGCAGCCATGGAGGTGCCACGAGATGAGACACCCACACTCATTACACACAGGCCATGTGTTTACATCTGATAGTGTTGCAATCAAGTTGTCCTGAACTTTGGGAAGAAAAAGAATGTATTGCTACACATGGAAAATAAGGGGTTTCAACTGATAGATGTGTGTAAAATCTAAATAAATCTAATATATAATAATAGATCTATTATCATCTATAATCTAAACACAGAACTGACTGGGTATGAAGCTGGCACCATTTTAATAGTAGCCTTGATTGGTGCAGCCTTGATTCGTCTGTCTGCCTCTGGGCAGCTCTAGCTATATCAGCTTAAGGACCCGGTCAGCTATTTTAAACTTATCAATAGACCGAATCTTTCTTCTTATTGGTGCAATATTTAGTCAACCACTATCCTAGACCCAAATAATGAGAGATGCAGATGTATCCAGTGTAACCACTTTGTGCCTTTTCCCAACTTTTTGTGACACGCTCTTGTGCTCATTGAGTGAAACTGATGCTCAAGTGCAGCAACCTTTCCTCATTCTGGATGTTGACCCCGGATAAAAAGAGACATTACATATCCTTACACAACAACTCGGTTCCGCTGCTTCGCAGCAGATAAAGAAAAATGTCTCAATTAAATGTTCGCAGGGCCACCTTAGCCAAGAGTTATCGCTGCCCGGGTAGCGCTGAGCGCTGCACTCACACATCCTCAAAAGTTATTTGACATAAATTGCTGGAGTCACATCATTTCCTGCCATACTCCGCGCAAGATTTACTGCTGATCCCATTGACTGGGAGCAAATCTGCAATAAAATCCACAAGGACCGTGGGTTTAGGAGGCGCACCGTGCCTCCATCAGAACATCTCTTGTGCGTAAAGATTAACCATGCAAATAGACGCACCTTCAAGGGGCCCTTTCATGAATATACAGGGCATGCTCTGCACTGATAGGACTCGAGCAGCAGGACCACTACTGTACATGAGCCTTTCTCCGATGAGAGATAACTAGGGAATTGTCTTTATTCAACCAAAGGCAACTACCCTCTCCTCTTGACATACAGGTTTAAGATTGTGCAAGTGTATTCGTGATGAAGGAAAGGTGCAATGCAAACAATACTCAATACTAATGTGCATGTGTGAAGTGCTTAGTTACACACATGACAAGGAGCAAATGGTTTCACTGTGTTAATGATAATGATTCTTACTCAAGCCTAAACTAGCCAGGTGGAAATGCTGTTTCAGCTATGTTCTTGTGTCATTAAACTCTCAGATTATCTCATTAAACACCAATGTTTATATCAGACTTCAGATGTAGTTTGTACACTTAGGGTTGTACCAAAAATCAAAAATGAATCACAAAATTAATTTTACATTCATACACCAAAAATATGATAGTCAAATGAGTGACTCATTTGTTTAGTCAACAAAACTGAGCCAGGACAGAGCTTGGGTTTATACCTTATTACTCATTGACATGCAGTTTTTTTTTTTTTTTATAAACACAGAAAGTGTGGGGGAACAATTACCAATGCACAATAAAACCTTTATTATTATTGCAAAAACGAGCGGTGCAAATCATTCACAAAGCAAGCTACCTACAACACACTCATGAACTTTTTACCCAATCTAAATTACTGAAGTTTCCTGACCTTGTTAAGCTCTACACATCAATTGTACTATTTAAAGCATTTAACAAATTGCTACCAAGTAACATACAACGATATTTTATTCTTAAAGAAAAAACATATAATCTAGAGGTCTTGGAAACTTCCAACTCCCAAAATTCCGAACGACTCGTAAAAGTTTCTGTGTGACAGTATGTGGTGTGAAATTGTGGAATGCTCTGGATCTCCAACTAAAACAATGCCAAGACATTCACAAATTTAAGTCTATATAAAAACAATGTTTGGTCTGACTATAGAGAGAATATGCCTTGAATATATTTCCATTTTGCCATGTCCTCTTCTTGTATGTTTGTAACTGCCCCTGTTGTTTCATTACCATTGCTGTATCATGTCCTTACCATTGTTGGTATTTTCTGTCCCAATGTACCATATTGGTATTTACTGTCTTTTACCATTGCTGGTATTTCCCTCATGCAGTTGTTTTGCATATATGTATCTGGTCTTTATATGTCCTTAAACCCATTATTTGCTACTTTAAAACCTGAACAGTTGATTCAAATGTGCCATTTGCTTTGTTTTTGTACTGGAGCAAATAGGAAGCTCAATGAATGTTTGTTTTTTTCTTTAGGGCACCAGGGGTGGGATTAAATAAGTTTTCTTCTTCCCACTCCTTTTTGAGTATCTGCAAGTGTTTCTTTTGTGTATATAACATTTATAATGTTGTATTATGTAAATGTAGCTCAGGGTTATTTATACACAATTTTGATATTCTACTTTTGTTTCCTGTACACTTATTTGCTCAAAATAAACAAACTTTGAAAGAAAAACATAACTAAAAGTCGAGATCTGTCAGTGTGAGGAGGTGACTATAATTCCATTCTTCTTTATAGTTCCCACTGAGTTGCCCTTTACCTGAGTAAATGCATTAGATCCACACACTGAGAGCCAGTGGTGACTGTGGGCACCACGGCCTGGCACTGTGTCACGATGAGACGCAGCAGCAGCAGTGGCTGCGGGGCATCCAGCTGGGGCTGCTGCTGCCTCTGCCCCACACCAGCTCTACGTGTGTGGGGGAGGTGGGAGTCAGGCCACAGGACTGCCCCGGGGCCACTTCTGCACCAGTAAGGAGACACCATCTCCTCCTCACTGCACATTCTGCAATTGAAGCAACTTGATGTACAAATGAGAAGTGAGCTTAAAAGCTCACTTTGACGGGAAACGCGGAAGTATGTTTAAATGTTAGGACAAAATAATGATGGAAGATATGTATTTTACATTTATTGAGTTTTAATTATTACAGTAGATGGAAATATATTACAAATGACAACAGTGTGTGATGTCAGTACTTATTAATCATTTGTGGGAAATTTGGAACGCCAAAACACAAACTATTATTTACAATTATGGCAGTCTTTCAGAAACAACTTCCAGGTGATCTTTGTCAGAACACACAGAGCCAGGTTAAAATAGAATTAGAAAAAATGTATAATACTGGAAAACGTTAAATTCTTAAAATCCACATACTGCGTATCTGAGATTTTAAAATAGTTATTGCTCTTGTTTGTTCTGCAGGTTTTCCAGGTCATTCCCTTAGTTTGACCTCAACCAGCTGTGACATCTCCGCACCTTAGATACAATAAATGTTGCCCGGTCAGCACTGTACATTATAATCATTGATGACATGCACACAAATCATAAAATACTATTAAACCTGAAGTGAGGCATTGGACTGATGGGGGCTACAGAATTCCAACACTACCATGAAAATAATGAAAAGTCACAGATCTAATTAGATTCAAATAAAATCTAATTAGTGTTGTAAATAGAATTGCTCTTTAAAATGAAAAGTCTAGAATTGTAGAGGCACCATTTAAAACATTATTAAGGAATGAGCAGACTACTGCTTGCATTGCAGCGCATAACTACTGTACATGATCTTTGATTTAAGGACACTGCTGGCTTGGTTAACAAACAAAACTTAACAAGTGCTTCTAAAATACTGTACAAATGTTGAATACCAGGAAACACACTTTTAAATTGAGTATGTCCATCATGCAGAGCTGACATTTGTTACTGGAGAAGAAAAAAAAAACAATGCCAATGTGAGCATTAGGTGAAAGCAGAGGTAGCCTGCGTCTGTGCAATTTCATCTTCATCAGTCTCTTTGCCCTATTTAGTTATTTAGTGTACCTTTGAAATTCTAGCAAAGTAAAACAACACAAATTCAATGTAGATGAATAAACTGCAGACTCTTGCTGGTGTTTCTACTTAAAATGAGTTTACAGCGCTTTAAGCTGAAAGAGGCCTTTGCTAATGATCACAGGACTACTGTACTGTATAAATAATAAAATACACTTCTATATGGTAAAGGCACAAACAACACAGCTCGAAGCATCAGACATGATTGGCACAAACCCATAATCTATGGAAAGGAAATGATAAAGGAATATAATAAAAAGGGGAAAAAATTAAGGGCACAATTTGAATCATGCAAAGAAGGAAAAAATGTTTTACAGCTCTATCTTTCCAGATTATTCTTCACTTTCTGTTGGACTTGCAATCACCGCGGTAGTTTTTCTTAATAAATGACATGGTCCTATTTTAATATGCGGTCAGCATTGAGATGTGCAGCTTTAGCAAAGTTTAGGTTACCGCATCAGCCTTTGCGGCGCATAGCTTGGGTCCAGAGAGCAGGAGGAGCAGGCTGCAGCTGAATGGCATTTCTGGGGCAGAGAACGACCAGAAAGTGGTCACCAGTAAAAGGACCGGGTCAGGAAGTTAGCAGCAGTACCGAGCCAGCCCATGCCATCTGTGATGGAGCCCACGCGTGTCACGGCCTTATCCTGCTCCTGGGATGGACTCTCCTCCTCGGGGAGATAGTCCGGGATGTCTGTATTCTCTTCCACCAAAACAGCTGCCCCCTCTTGAAACGGCACGATACGCTGTACAAAAAAAACTGTTTGAACACTAGATAAATGAACATATATGTACAATGTACAAGTCTGTATCATCAGTATAATAAAGTCTATGCTTTTTCCTCCTGTTAAAAGTAAGTGAGGTTTGTCTGACCCCTGCTGGTGTATAAGGGAAACTACAAAAATCAAGCTAAGTTTCTTACCATTTTTTTTAACATGTATTGGGAAAATATTACCTTAATGCTTTTTCTTCAATATCAGAGAAGACAGGTGAGAGACAATATTTGTGTAAATACGTAGGCATGAGCGCAGGTGGCCATAGCTGCAGGTGAAAGCCTGATTCTGTCTGAAATTCATGATTTCAGAAGATAAGCAGAGCCGGGCCTGGCAAGTACTGTGATGAGAGACGACTGCGAATACAAGCTACCACAGTGGAACGCCTGAAGATGTATTAGGTAAAGTGGATGACGTGTCTTGCTTAAGGACACAATAGTTTGGCACTTTACAAGTCTGGTGTGCGAGTATGTGTAAATGCTTGATGGTGAGTGGAGGGGCTGATGGTTCAGATTGGCCGTCTTACGTCTTCAGTCTACCAGAGGGAAGCTTTGACTTCAGCAGTAGTTTATCACTACTGTGTACAGTGTGAATGGATAATGCCATGTGAAGCGTGTCCCAAAAACTGCTAAATTGTGTATGATTCATTATTATCATTCTTGTTATAAAACGCATTCAACCTGACAACTCTAATCGACCTTGTTTTGTCTTTTGTAATTCCTCATAGAGAATGACATACCTCTGCACCGTCTTCTGTCTTGACCACCTGCTGAGCTATCATTACTTTGGTGGAGTTGATTGCTGTTCCCAATGCCTGGTAAAGAAACAACCACAAATTTAAAATATGTGATCAACACAAACTCTTCCAATTTTCCAACCAATAGCCTGAATGAAACAGACCTCGGCTTTAAGATCAGAGCGAATTCTGACGACGCATCGCTTTACAGCCATCTGGAAGGTGAAGCTGATAACCCCTCGAATTTTCAGCAAGGCCTCTTCACAAAGACCTCTGCGACTCTATCAACAGATGAATACAATGGCCGTTGGTGTATAATGCATACAACTTAGAAGTGATATAAATGCAGTCCACATGTTTGACATGAGGATGTCAAACTCCTGTAATGTTATCTGGCTTACTGCCGATATCCAACAGAGCAACATTCAGATTCAATCTCTGCGACCTGCTGTTCAATAGCTGACATTTACAACCTCACCTAGCCTCCCTCTGGTCCAACCAGACAGACCAAAGACTCAGTATCAACATAAACAGACATGTGCAGTGCATCTGTGCATGACAGAAACACTGAAGACTTACAGAGTCATCCAGTCCATCAATGTGCAGCACAACGGTCTTTGCCCTCTTGTTATTGGAGCCCAGGAAGAAATGAGCTTTGCGTCGACAGGAGGCAGTAGATTCTTCAGCCTGTTCGGCCTCATTCCCTGCCGACTGAAGGATTTCATAGATTTCTGAAGCCAGCAGTTTGGTCTCTCCTGGTGAGGTGCCTCTGTTGGAGTCACACAAAGATTAGATGTATAGACAATGCTCAAAACCTTTTATTTATGAATCTTTTTGTTCATCCATTTTTACTTTTTCCCCTAACAGACCAATTGAAAGAACATACTCTTAATGCCCTGGTATTGCAGAGAAAACAGTGATACTTGAGCGAGCCCTGCAGGCCATTTGGTTTGGTTATAATGTCACAAAGCTGTCATTGCGTTTGAATTAAGTTCATATGACATGAGCTGTCTGACACTGCAGCCCTTTTGTGAGATCTCATCCTCTATAAAACAACATTATTACTGTAATGACCCCCCCACCATAAAACTTTGGGGACACAGTTTATAGCAAATGTATGTAATCTGTTTACTTATTAAACAAAGACAAGAAAACAAAAAGTTGAAATTTAAAAATACATGCATTTCACACTGCCCCCTTGAGTTTCCAGTCTGTCGAGCTATGAGTGACCTCTACCCAAAGTCAGAGTGACAGGACTACGAGGAGAGAAAGCTGTTGCCGTTACTGCAGGGCTCCTCTTGATGCCTGTCTCGTCTAGCTGAAGTGACGCTGTGTCTGTAGGCGACCAACAACATTACTGCTAAAAGGGATGGGAATCATAAAGGCTAGCAACCCTCAGCCACTTAAACAATGGTCAAACAAGAGTGATAATGATAAACAGGAGGCACTTAACACTTTCGCAGCAAAATTAGATACACATGCAATGTTATGCCTTAATTGCAAAAAACCTTTTGTACACATTATTAGAAAATAACTGCCATCATCAAAAATGCAAAAAGATGGCACAGAGAGTTACAACTTCTGACAGGAAAGTCCCTACCATTCCCTTTCAAAGTCGGCTTTGATAACAATCATTGTGACTTTGGATTGTCTGAAACAAACAATTTTAGATTCATATAAATGTGTGACAGGGCCTTACTTTTGCATAACGTTTTGCAAACTCAGCATCATGCCGAGCTCGCTCTTCATTTTCTCTCGATTGGCTCGACATTCTGCCAGGTAACGGACAGCCTGCAGAAACATATTGTACGATGTTAACAAGTATGAAAAGATAGAGGGCTGCACTGGTAGTGATTGTTCAAAAGGATTACATAATGTGACAGGCTAGGCCACCATGATCACACTTTGTTGGTTGGTGACAAGAAACTAACCCATTACATAAGAATGTATAGTGCATAGTGGTGGTTAAATCTGAGCATGACAGTGGACATTCAATGGAAGTGCATGGTGCATTTATTTTTATGTTAAAGAAATTATGTGGGCTTTGTGTTTTAACTCAACACCAACGGAAAAAAGCTGTATATGATATAATAAACAATATTATATTATATATCATAATAAGTAGTATTGAATACCATCTATAAGATAATAATGAATCTTATAAATGTATACTGTTTGTGGTCTGAAAACTAAAATACAGAGAATGAAACTTCACAGTAGCATCCTAAAGTTCACAACGATTCATGTCTCGCCAAAAAACATACACATTATATATATGGATATTTATATTATACAGAGTGGACACATACCAATAGTGCAGAGTAGACCACTTGAGGGTTAGGGTGGTCTAAAAAAAGGATGAGTCCTGGGAGACAGCCCTGATCTTCAACTATGGCTCTTCTATTGAGAGGGTCAGCAGCCAAGTCTCGGAGTTGGTTCACCACAGTCAGCGCATCCACCTCTGCACTCATGGTGCTCCTCGTCTGGATGCCACACACATTAAACCATCCAGTCCCTTAAACAAACACACAAACATTCATCTTTAAGCAGGCATTTAATTTATATTTTGAATTATGATTAAAAGATCCTTTTTTCGTCCCACAAAATTGCCGATTCTGATGCTGGAAAATAGACTCAATAGTCACTAACAATTTTGATGATATAAATTGGAATCATCTTTTGGACATTGACCTGCAGTTTTTAACACCAGAAGGTTTTATGCTAGTTCTGATAGTATTTTCTTTCAGAAAATGCTGAGAGACTCACAATTAGTCCTGTTTAAGTAATCTTTTTCAGTATTGGTATAATCTCAAAATGGTATCTATTTCAGAACTAGTTCTGTTGAATTAAATCAATTACTGTCCGATTTTTGATACTTTAGACAACCCATTTTCTGACCCAATGGATGACCATTTTATGGTACTTGAAATACAGTACAATATTTTGTTATTTCAGTTGTTAAAAGTTCGTTGTCAGTATCCCATGCCATCAGTCCCTTAACTTCCCAGTATTTTCATATACATTTGACAACAACGTGTCCTCGTCGACTTCCATTTGAGGTAGTCAATGTAATGCCTGGTTACATTGAAAACTTGATTGTAAAATAAAGGTTGAATAGGTGAGGTTACAAAATGCTTCGCATGAAAACAGAACATAAAAGATGAAACTATGGACAACCTAAAAATCAGTAAAGAATATGAGTAACATAAAAAGTAGAATGTAGAATAACAAAGACGTGGTGCCCTCTCGGCTTTAAAGCACTGTCACCGACAACATGGAAAGGACGTGTCGTTTACAAATAAACACAGCAAATCAACATAGACGGTGACAAGCAAAGCAAATAATTCACACAACTATTTTGTCAAAGACGACGACCCCCTAAACTAAAGTCATTACTCCAAATCACGCCCTTGCAACTAAGCTACAATATTTCGGCTAACGTAACACAAAAACCCCTCACCTTTTTGTCAATTTGCAATAAAGTACAAGATAATGACAGCTAGACACAGAGACGAATGACGCTAATCGAATCTAAATGTTAAGAGTTGTAAAATAATCGATGAAGCTGTAGGCCTCGGAGCTTTAGCTGTTAGCTAGCAGCTGTGCGGTGTTTAGGTTTTGTGACACATGAAGGGTGCACTTGCCATTTCCAACGAGGCATTCCGATTTTCCTTACAGCTAAGAGAGAATGTGGGGCGGAGTCTAGTCTGGGAAACAACGGTATAAGTACCAAGCACACATTTTGCCAACAAGCATTTTTTTTTATATTGTAGTATTTTGTTTGTTGAAGATAAAATAACAAATGATGTATTCAGCTTTTGGGTTAGTTATTGTTTTACTAGTGACTATTTCAATTTGTATATGCACAACAACAACAAAAAGATAAATGCTCTTGTTAAAATCACGTGAACCACCACTGCTCTGTCATTGGTTGAAAATAACATATCCTCTAAACTCGAGTCTCCGCGTTTTCACGTCGCGAGAAGAGAACCTCAAAGTTGTCTGAAAGTTGTGTTTTTGGTAAGTTTATGAACTTTAGATTTGTCATTGACCTGTGCGGTAGGATTTGGATCTATCTATAGTGATTGTGTTGTCACTGTGCACTCAAGCTGATCTTTTCTTTCTATATTCTTGTGAAAATAGACTGTAGCAACAGTTATTAGCCACATCACCTGCTAAGTTCACATTGAGTTTTTTATTTAGTCTGTTTTTTCACGTAAGTGAAGTTCTCCTCGTCAAACAGCGAAACTGAACAAATAATCTTGTGAAAAAAGTTGAGAAGAACTACTTGTGTTTATTTTTATACCACCAAGAATGTTTATTTTGCTAAAAACAAACCTTAATTCTAGTTACAAAAAAAAAGAAAATAGAATAGAAAATTCAATAAGGAATATTATTTGATCTGAATCTGCTCCTTTCAGAAAATTCTACAAGAAACGCCCCGACTGATGCACCCTCTAAAGATGCCCTTTCACTGTGGGTATGTGGGCATTTGACAACTCCCAGACATGAGCAAAAACCATGCGCAGATTGAAATGGATCTGGTGAGTGGCATCTTCAGATCAGAGAGATCGAACATGTGTTGATTTGTATTATTGTGTCACAGGCTTTTGGAACAGCCAAGCCTTATGGGTCCTCCAGGAGTATAGTCAGAAGAATCGCATCCAGTCTACCTTTTAAGCCATGTCCCAGAGTCCATTTTCAGGTGTGTCTGGCAATATTTTGTATTCCTTTTTTCCATCTTGAAAACGACATAAATTGTATTCTTCTCTCACATAATTATATTACAATTTAATGTTTACATTTTGGGAACAACTTCTAGTTTCTATTTACGTTCTATATCTGAATCATGTTTTAAGTGGTTAACACTTGTAGACGTGCTATTATATCAAATGGCATATGAAAACATGACGTGCCATGCTTTTTAATCCTCACTTTTGTTTTCAGTAAGATAACCATAAACAAAACTCAATCCTGCAACAACACAAAGTAGTTGAACTACTTTTCTTCTGTATTCTTCTTTTCTTTCCTTGACTACCTGTTCATGCACTTGGAGTCTGTCTGCATGAGGTTAGTTTGTTTAGCATTGCTTATACCCTTATTTATGTATTCTTCCACTTTAAACTTAATTTGCAGTAGTTTGGTGTTATGAAGAAAATATGCTAATGACAGTGTCCTAAGATCGTTTACTCTTGAGCCCTATTTTTATCCATGTGTAACTCTTCTATGGCAGCTTTATCCATACACCGAGGATGCAGGCATCCTGTTTGCTGCTCAGAGACAGCCTGGACTGGTAGCATCTCTCGCTGATGTTGGTTGGATGGATAGAGATGATGATGACGACGACGACTACTTGGACAGACCACGGTAAAGTCAATATTTTATTAATATTGAGCCGGAAACTTGTTTTTCATTAAACTTAACCATAATTGTTTCTTATTCAGTTCCGGACTTGCTGATGGACTCCTGCTCAGAGCTCATGAGCATAAACCAAGACTTTCCAGACAAAAATCCCTCCCAAGCCTGTATCAGGGGCCTCCTGACCCCCAGGGGCCGACCAAAGCCAACGAGGAGGCCATACTGAAAATTGGTGCACTGGAAACTGAACTGGCCAAACTGAGAGCACAGATCGCACAAATAGTTCTGGCTCAGGAAAAAAGTTCACAAAATTCAGGTATAGATAAAGTGTATACGTTACTTTCCTGTCAAAGTTACAGAATTTTAATATCACCACTAGATGGTGCAAGAGTCTTTTGTTCTAGCTAAAAAGACTTTAATTACTTTTTCTTTCTGACACCAGCTGCAGCTACAGGGACACCTCCCCCACCCCCTCCACCTAGTGGTGCTCTGCCGCCCCCTCCTCCTCCTCCCCCTCCTCCACCCCCACCGCTCCCAAACCTCCAGCGGACATTTTCAGCCATTGACTTGATTAAGGAGCGCAAAGGGAAGAAGACCGACAGCCAGACAGTTTTAGAGCCTAAGCCAGCAGAAATCCCCAACATGCTCGATGTTTTGAAAGACATTGGCAAAGTTAAGCTACGCTCTGTCAAAATGTAAGTTATTACACTGACAAAAGTATCTAATCATTATTTATAAATGTATTTCCTTTTCATGACTTTCTTAAATTGTATTTACAAATGCTGCCATATTTTCTTTATTTCTCAGTCGTGGTGGGGAAGGTGATGTTAAAACAAAAACCAATGAGCCAGCAGACGCAGCGTCTCTGATCGCGGAGGCCCTGAAGAGAAAGTTTGCTCATCGCTACAGGCACAAGAGTGAACAGGACGACAAGGAAGATTTCACACCATTTCCAGAGGAAGTGTCTAAACCAGCTGCTCCACTGGTACAGTCTGATATTAGGTCTTCTGTGATCTGAACATGTACTTGATATTAATGAGATACATGTGTCTTTTACAGTTTGGACAGCACATGTTGAAGCCAACAGGAAAGAGGAAGCTCGTCTGACTGTTACTTTTCCTAATCTACTGTTCACGGAAGAACAAGGGCTTTCTTTGCAATTTTTCAAACTTAAAACCATAGTTAATTCATGTTTGTTATGATTTATCTGGTGGAGACCTACATGTTCACACTGTGAGAGTTCAGACTTTAAAGTTGAAATGTGCGTCACATTTAGACAGGTGCACATTGTGTCTGTTTTGCATTCCCAGAATCATTGGAACAGAAAATGTTTTGGTTCTTTGACTACAGAGGAAAGAAAGCACTTCCTTGTGGTTAGAATATTTTGTTTTAAGTGTAAATGTGTACTTAATTTATGATTAGTTTTATTTATGCTGTGGCCTTGTCCTAGTAGTTTTACCAACACTAATAATGTTAAATGTTTTTAATGTGTGCCAGTTTGTAAACCTGCCAAAGCTTTTAAAATGTATTGCTGCTTTTGACTAATATTAAAATCAAATACATTCCAGTCATAGCAGACATCGTGGGAATCTTTAACTTCTGGAAGTGGCATTTAACTTCATTGATACTGATCATCACTTGACACTTTGAAAGATATTTTACAATATATGTATATTTTTTTTACAATTGTAATTTAAAACACCTCAATGTAAGTTTGTCAATAAAAGCCACTGGTTGTTCCAAGTGATTTTTTCATCTAATGTGTATAAATGATAAGCATGTGTAATTGAGACTGCAGTAGTCAAGTTAAACTGAAGCTGGTTTCATTGTGGCCCACTCAAAGGCCATTTGCAGTTTTTCATTGTATTTGACACACTTCTTGGCCCATTTTATACTATGTTTTTGCAAAAAAATGTTACAGATCAAGAGTAAGTGCAAATTAGCATTTTAATATGAATCTTGAACCTTCCTTGAAATTCAAGGTGCAACATAATGTTTAAGCACTTTGCGTTATCGACCTGCAGTTTTTCCCTGGAAATATGAAATGGGGAGCTTGGAAATGTTAAGACTATCAGTAACAAAAGTTGGGAGGCCAAGTTACTGTATAGAAAGTTCCCTGGATTCAGGCCTAAAGTGTTAAGCTGTATACACATTCTCGGTGCAAGAGTAGAGGACACATTTTTGTCAACAGGTTTTATTCAAACTTCAACTGCAACGGGCATGTATCAAAAAGGTCAATACAGCAAAAGCCTTTACAAAATCTGGCTTGACAAACAAGTCATCCCAAAAATGGCTGTCGCAACAAATTGTAAACATTTTTATCAACAGTCTTACAGCACTTACAGCAAAATACAAATCAGCTAAAGTAAGAAAAGCACCTGTTATGTTTTTAAAATGTTCCAACACAAACACAACTTGTGCCACTGTACATAATCAAAGGACAAAACCAAAGAAATGGAATGTTCAAAGTCACTTGACCATATTGTTTCCGTAAAAAAAAAACAAAGGATAAAGATGCTGTAGTTCATTACAACAAAAGGCAAAGGGAGTGGACAGTGCATTCAGAGAAAAAGCACATCATGCACTTGATGGGGACAAGAGTTGGTTTGGTCACTTAGCATAGTTTGTGCATAGTTATAAGGCATCTTTTGAGCAGTCCGTTAGGTTGCATGTGGCTTTGAGAGACATTCTGCTAAAAAGAAAGTCTCGTCCAATAGATCCTAATCAGGCAGGGGAAAAACCAACAACCTTGCCTCCCGCCTGCAGTCGCCCCTCCTCCTCGAGATAAGAGACTAGGAAAACCCTGAGGAGTAGAGTTGCGTGAAGCGGAGTTCCTGGTGAGATGCATATGCAGTGAGTAACTCATCGCTAGTGTGGGAGGGACAATCCCCCCAACATAAACCAACACATAAAAACACCAGTGTAGACTACGATCGTGTGGTTAACAAGTAGTTGAAGACAAGACTGCTAAACGAATGTTGTCAATATGTGGAGTGAAAAACAGGAGAGCAAGTGAAGAGTTAACTTATGGCATCTGGTGTGTTTGACAAAGATCTGCTAATGGTCTAAACAGTGAGATGACAGTTCGAATGAGTGGATCTTCACATCTGTGCTTCGAAGGCAAAACCATGGAGTCGACATGATTGACTTCAGTTCAAGGGAAAGAAAAACAAAAAGGAAATGCGTAAACAGTCTTTGTAGAGGCAGCAAAAAGACTGGGCTTGTCACATTTTCTGTTTTTACATGAGGAAGAATCTTCAATACGAATGCAACATGGCATTATGCAAAGTCTTACAAGGGTCTTGTCGCGAATACTCCAGCTTACTGTCAATGCAATTCATGTCGTTCTTCAAACTGTTTTGTTGTTTCAAATGGCACTTCAGAACACCATAGTGTGGTTGAGTTCATAAACTGCTTTCCCCTTTATGACCACCTACAAATGTGGTGTGTTCATGCAGTCAATAATGCCAAAAATACAGGACAAATAAATATATTAAAGCAAATAAAAGAAAATACAGCAGTAGCAAAATGAGGTATCTATGTATTGCTGTATGCCAAAAAGAGGAATTAAAAAAATAAATAAATTAAATAAATCAGTGGTTTATCAATGGAAGGCAGAAGCAAAAAAAAGCTGCTAGGATTTGGTGGGGCATCCCACCTGCCCTACAGTGTGAGTCAAAGGTGAAGGTCGAAGAGGAACGTCAGGATGCACTGCTTCCCTGAGGTAATTCTTTGGAGCTAGTTCCCTCTGTCGTTCCAGCAGCGCCCCCATCTTTTGAGGCTGCAGTGGTGGGCTCTTGGGAGCCAGAGCTTTGTTCTTGCTGCAGGCCGCTCCAGCTAGCCTTGTTCAGTCCCATGTGGCCCAGCATGGTTTGGGACAGACGAGTGTCTGAGAAACGGGCCCATTCGGCAAACAGAGGTTCTGCCACATACGTTATAAATCCTGCAAGAGTCAAAAAAACAATGTAGAATGCAAACAAACCAGTGCACATAAGTAACTTGTGGTATACTTGCCTATTTGAATGTTGCCGACACTATTCGCCTCTCGGTCACAAAGTGGACTGACTTCAAGATGGTGCTTCTTTTCTATGTCACCTGCAATGACAGCAGATATAATTCAAGTTGTTTAATAATAATTATCTAATGACGTTTTAAATGATCAGTATTTTTTGAACAGATAACGTAATTTCTCAAAAACAAACCTTGTTGGAAGAACTCTTCAGTCACTTTCTCACTCCACTGTTTGCTTAGCTCCCATGGTCGACAGGGGTTACAAATGTCTGCACATTTGAGGGCCATCTGAACAGAGATGACACTTTCATACATAGATCATACATGCATGCACGATACCTTACACTGACGTATGGGGTACCTGCAGGATAAAGTGGCGGTGACCAGAGCTGCTCAAACACAGAATCTGCTGGTCCAGTTGGAGGCGGAAGCGGCACAGGTACTCGTTCTGTTGGCTGATGTCAGTTGCCAAGATTAAGGAACCAAGGTCCCTCTCAATGCTCCGGCTGTAACCCACAAAGAATATCCCCAGTTAGACCGTGTTGAATGAAACATGACTTTAGTTACTGGTGTTTGACCTGTCCTCTGGAGGCATGTGTGAAAACAGCCCCGTCTCCCTGAGCAGGCCCACCGCAGACTTCCAGTGATGGTTTTCAAGAACAGAGGTATTCTGCTCAGCCACAGAAATAAAATCAGTCACAGTGCCTGCTTTGTTGAAATAACAAAAAAAAAAAAAAAAGATATTTTCTTACCCTGTACAGGGAAGCTAAATAATGGTTAGTCTTGATTAGGAAAGGCTGGTTAACCCCTGGATGGTCCAAGTCATGAGTTGCAGCTGCAAGCAGCCCCAGCAGGATGTCGTATGAGGTCAGAGACTTTGCAAGCTGCAATAAGAAAATAAAAACAGAACAAACAAAAGAGTTAATTATAAATAGAAACAAAAATGAAAGTGTGTCCCCTGACCTTTGGCTCTGTCATGTAGCAGTACATGGCCTGTGTGACATCTGCAGCGTGGATAGCATTGTGGTAAGGGTTATCACCGTGGTAATCCTCCTGAACCATGACCAGAAACCTCCAGAGTTTGACCATGTCCAGCTGAAAGAGCTTCACCAGGCCATACTGGTTCAAGAGATGAAAGGTCAGGGTGATCAGGCTGTTTCCTGGAGAAAACAAGTATAGTTAAATCTCAACTCAAGTTTAATGCAGCCAAAAGTTTATGGCTCTTTCTAATGAAAATGTCAAGTTGCAAAAAAGTTCCAAAAATAAAATAATCTGTTTTACTCACCATTTGTCAGTCTATCAAAAAGAAAAATATCAAAGTTCCAGTTCCCAACTTTATCCAGCATGCACTGAAACACAAATGTTAAATAAAAGATATAAATACCAATGTCAAAACTTAGGCATTTTGAACCGATGATGAAATGCCGTACCCTGGCCTGTCCAGTGTAGTCTTCATCGAGGATGTGCAAAGGCATCTGCTGTGGGATTCCTCTGAGCAGACGGGATGAGTGCAGGTATCTCTGGAAACTCAACAGCCTGTGGACTCTCCTTTCTGGAGCGGACGCCACATCGGAGCCACATCCCAGCCGTGCTGCATTAATCAAACAATGCAAATCTTTATTAATGACACTTATGAAAAGCCTTTGGGGATTTTCTGTTGTGCCACAGGCTTATGGGGCTCAGAGTCATTTGGATCACACAAGCTGGTGGGGATCTGACACCAACTCAGCGATACACAAACAGTCGCTGCTGACACAGCCGCCCACTCATAAGCCTCTCGTCTGGGATCACACAGCAGACATGCACACAGAAGCACTGGGTCTGGATAAACTGTGGCTACCACTTGCAAGAAATATATGAATTGGATCATTTTTGGCCGGAATGTCCTCACATGCAGCGTTGTGGGTGGTTAATGAAGTAATGCAATGGCTTTTAGACAAGATTTAGATAATGCCACTTAAGATCATCGTGTGAGAAAGCAGTGCACAAACACCAGAACACCTCTCAGTCATGTTGAACCAGGACAAGGGCACCCTCCAGATGAAGAAACTCATAACATCAGGGAGCCATTGTTCATACTTACTGTGAAGAGTTCGAAAGTCGATGCACAGGTATGGGTGCGAGCTCCTTCGTTCCGGTTCAAATCCCACCTGACTTCTGACTCTCACATCTCCTAGAAAAAATCAGCACTTATTTCCTCTAAAGTCACACTGTGTTCAGTGAAAGCTGAGCTAGGCCAAGTAATGTTTACAATACACTTCGTTTGACTGTATTTTGCTGTTTATGTGCCACTTGCTTTACCACAGGATAATGACAACTTTGAAAAAATAGCATGAAAAGCGTTCCACATCATATAACAACCCACTGGACATATGGAGATTGAAGGCCACATTTTGAAAACGGTAAATGATACATAAAGGATTTGTAAAAACTATTTGACCCAGCCCTGCTGTACAAGACACAAGTGCATTGGCACACAACCACACACTCCCCCAAACCAGTAGAAAAATTCAAATGGACGATCAAACAGCTGAGCATGCAAGCCCATGTCAGAGTGTAGAATCTAGATTAGTACCGAGCACAGAGCTCCAGACCACTCTGGAGCCATTTTAATATCAGGCAAAGGCACAGGGACAAGCTGGAGCACTGGCCTGAGGACTGCAGACAGAGCAGTGGGGTGACAGAACGGTGATATGACATAAATGCAGTAAAATGCGTGTTTTACAGGCAACCATCTTCACAGCAAGACTTTGTATTTTACCCAGTTGTCAACAGTGCAAAATTATATTTTTCCAGCAGGTTGTGTTGTAAATCAGCAGTCAGACAGCTAAGTCCCCACAACCAGTGCGATACTTACTTGAAAACAGCTGTTTGAAAACTAGACAAGCCCCTATCAAAATATCAAAACTATGAATTACTACTAATTCAGGCCAAAGGGATTGATAGCTTGAGCTAATTCTAACATACAGCTGGAACCAAGTACTTATTTACACCGTAAAATATATTATCCCCTCCCATCAGCAGCTCAAATGCACCAACTATGATGGCTGATATGTAGCTGGTCATGATTGTTTCTATCCATTTTCATTAAGTAATGTAAAGTGTATGTTATGTACATGTATGATGTCACAATTAGATTGTGACATGATTATGAGACAACAAAACAATTTCTAGAGACCTCAGGCTCTAGAAATAGCAGCAATTAATAGTGGTTATTAATGGTTGGAAATGTATTAATCTGGTATGGATAGAAGGAAAGCTCATTAGCCCCAACGATGTGATTGTCTAAATGTAATGTTGCAGACGGGAGGCTTAGGAAGAGTCAATGGTAAATAAGTATTTTGTCCCGTCAAATAAACTTGCATCAGTTTTCTATACTGCTTGGCACTGACAGTTTGGGAATTTGGTGTTCCCAGAGGTCTCCCATCACAGCAGTAACCGGACCCTGCCTTGCTTATGGTCTGAGGTATGAAGACACATGAAGGTCATCTGGTTGTATTGGAGATGCCTATGGGCCAGGGTGTAAACTTGTGGTTGTTGTGGTTGTTGTGGTGTAGCATCTGCAGCTGCATGTGCCTCGGCCTCGCGTGCCTGTGTGATTAGAGCGAGGCAGAGTCAATGGGTCCATGTTTCCCCCGTGGTGCATTAGTGCTGATGCTCTGGGGTGGATGTAGGTCATGTCATTATAACTGATGTGGCGAAAGCTTTGACTCCAGCTCTCTGAAAGCAAATCAGCATTAACTTGGCAGACTACATGTAAGCGCGGCCAGCAGAGTCCATGTTTGCGTGCCTCTCACACGTGACTTAATAAAAAACCTAGAAAGACAGATGCTTTATGTGGCAGCTGTATCAGAATGCTGTGTTTACTCAAGTATATGGCTAAACTGCCAGAACAGTATGTTGGCAATGGTACATACTTCCACACAGAATCCATTGTGAATACACATTTTTTATTTTTAAGCTTTTAAATCATTGCCCTCACCTTTATGGTTAAAACGGTAAGCATCCAGTAGTTCATTAAAATTATTTTACTAAATACATTCACACTGTAATAAGGATAATTTTGGTTGAAGCACTGCAGATGAGTGCCAAAAATGTGTATACTTACCTAGCATACGAATGTACAGGGCCGTCTGGTCAGAGCTGTCATAGGAGATGGCCCCACGTCTCTGTTTAAAAGAAAGAAAAATGCAGTGAAGTCAAGGTTTTGTTTTTGACCGTAAACCCAATAATCATATTTGAAGTTGACCCAAAATTAATCAAAAAATAAATAAATAAATAAAAAAAATGAAAAAAAATCAACATTCTTGTACTATTGATGTAATGTTTAACACATTTCTTATTTTGCACATGTTTTGTTGTGTAGTCCTACTGTAAGTTTGTGTCCATTAACAAACCAAACCGTAAAGATCCATATGATCGGCATGTTATGGCACTTGCACCAGTCATGTGAGAAACACAAGCCTTATTGAACAACACATACTGCTGTTCTCACATTTTCTACAGCTATTAATCCAGTGCTGTCTGCTGTTTTTTAAAGATGTATTTCATGTTTGGAACAATTTCCCGAAGACAGCAGCTCAAGGCCATCTGCTCTTCTCTTGCAAAGAGAACTACAACAGACCAGAGAGGACACAGAGCTGCCTGGACCAAGACCAGGCTACATGAGCTGGGCTCTGGTCGAGACTAGACTGGATAACTGCCATGAAACTCCTCTGAAAACAATAGATCCACACTACATGACCAGCATGACAATCGGCATGTACTGAAAAGGTAACATTACCGGTAGTCAAATTTAAATCTTGATTGAATTGCTCAATGTCTATAAATCATTCACCCAAGGACGTTTTAATTGAAAAGCATAGCATACCAGACAAACATGTTTTGTGGCATAACAAAATATACATATTTTTGCAAACCCTCAATAGGGCATTCATCACTTTGCCCAATCAGTCTTCATGAATGTGGAGGTAAAACTACACTGGTATGGCTCTATAAATACACTTGCATCAACCTTGGGAACAGGCACATACTGAAGATCATATCAAATGACAAGATAAATGATGGCAGGTTAAATTTAAAAAGTGAACGCTCTTTACAGGGATCATACTATAGAGCCTAGTATATAATATATTAAAGGAAGTTATGCAGAACAGATTCATTTGCACCATATCCCTACATGCATCATGTCCTAAGGCTTGTCTCTTTATTACATCCACAAACTTTTACATTTGCAGCCTAATGTTTTAAATGTTTCATGTGTATGGCGTCATTAACAGTACAGCTGAGCAGGAGCCAGCTGTCACCACTGGAGGTGTGTGCTTGCAGCTCTTGTGTAGACAGACTCTGCTCGGGGCGACACTGCAGCATTGGCTCACCTCTCTGTGCACTCCATAAATCCTGGCCCCTCTCCAGGACAAGTCTCCGGCGGGGCTCCCCTGAGCTAGGGTTACCCGCTGCAGTGACAGGCCGCATGAGTGTCCACAAGACTTCAGGATGACTTATGGAGCGCTACACCACGCTCTTAGACTCAGTGACTGTCCAAGATTAAGAAGGGTGAGCCGGGGGTCGGCCTGGCTAACTGCACTATTGCTATAGAGCAAACATTAGCACAACTTTATGGCAGTGTAATGAGAAAGGCGGAATGATACAACATATGAATTCAAGGAGCAAAAACAATTTAAATCTGGCCGTTTTTTTTGGTGCATTTTGTTTGCCTGAATGTTAGGTAACATTGCGTGAACAAATCAGAACAGAATATGCCGTCTTTATCTTATTAGAACACGTGTTATATTTTACATTCTGAGAGCTGAGAGAGTGAGGGCTGGTAACTCTTTCACTAGAAAAGCTGATCTAAAGCCGTGTCAGAGGCCAAAAATACATGCATGAGAAAACTACTAATAGGACCATGTTTACTTTTTCTGCTACACAATCAGTTTTAGCCTCATAACATGTTGAATATCTTCTTTGAGGCTGTATGTGAGACGTTTCTGACTTGTATGCTGGTCATCCCACTTGTGCAGTTAAGTCATGTTGTTCCGTATATTAAAAACATCAATTGCAGAATAATTGTTTTCTTTTTTATGAAGGGAGCTTGAGGCCGGCGCAGCTGAAGCCCTGTATCCAGGAGCTAATAACAGCTGTCAACTGCCGCAAACAAAAACATGTGCAAACACCAGTGTAGATGCTTTCGGGCTCATTACTTCATATGTAAAGGATTAGTTTGAGGCTCCACACACACACACACACACACACACACACACACACACAACACACACTTCTCGCTGTTTCTTGTCCAAGTTCATGACAGCAGCCAATTCAAAGCTAATATTTTACCGGCTAGCAAACAGTTTGACTCTGGGTGGGTAATCTGCAAAAGCAAAGCTGTATTTTTGTGTCAACAGGCTTCTCTGTTTACACACAGCACTGGTGGTTAACACGAGCATTATACATGGCGTGTGTGTGTTTGGTTTGTATCGACTGGAACATTAATGACAAGTGCATGATGGTTCCCTGCGGCTGAGAGCGGAGGTTTGACCAGCCGTGCCAACTCTTGCCAACAGTTTGGCCTGAGTTTTACAACCAGCACAGTGTGCTGGAAGAACACATTAAAAAAAGGATTTATCCAATGGCTTTATTAATGTCCCGTCCTATAATTAATGGAAGTAGCTAGTTTTGGATGGTAATGATCTCATTAATATTATTTTCTTAATGCAGATGGGGAAAATACTTAATTTCCTATGCTTGCGAAGGATATTAAAAAAAAAGGAACCACATGCATTTTGCGTACTAGTTTAACAAGTTACAATTACAACAATATTTAGGGATCAGTATTGTCTGTAGATTTTATTCGCAAAAGTGGGGGGATACATTTTAGCGTAAATGGAATAAACATACATTTTATTAGTATATAAATCTTCAGCTTAATTTCTAAGCTCAGGCTTTTCAATTGAAATGGAAAACATGCTTTATGGCATTATCCTATGTTGTGATTACAGGGTTTCATGGCGTGCCTGTTGTTGCTGCTCTGTGTCTGCACTGACACTGGATTTCACCGTTGAAATTGTAATATGGAAGTTTGAAGTACTGTATGTCACAGGCCAATGATATTGTTATAGTCCATTTCACAACAATCGTTTAAGAGAAACAGACAAAGAGCTCCTCTAGATGTCGAACTTGTATGACCCCTGAGCACTGCTGGGGATTAAAACAATGTTAAATTGATCCAACATAAAGAGTGTTTATTAATACGGATTAGAAAACTGAACTAAACTGGCTTAAAAAAGGAGGAAACATCAGAAATTTCAGTCATACATTTGTATCCAATTTTTTTAACTCTCAAATCATAATTATTTTTGAGATAAATATATACATTTATTTTTAAGGCCAAACCAAGGTCAAACATCTTTCAGATTTAGATCCTTATCCATAATATTTGCAAACACAGATAGTTCAAAATTGAACTGCAAGAGTTGCACTTTACTTCCACTTTTTGAACTAATGTTGTACTTTGCACGAGACATCACACACACTTTTAGCCTGTTTTCACAACCCAAACCTGCTGCTATTCAGAATGCATTACTCAATATGTTCCATTAGTCGATACACTTATTTAGAGACAGTATTATTTAAAGCATCATAATTTTACCATAACTTTTTGAGTTAATTCTGAGCCATTTTATTATGAAATCAATGTTTTCATATCTGTAATTGACCCCAGGAGACTATAAAACAAATATATAATATCCTCCATTGAAATTGAGCTGCAAAAAAAGTAGGGGTATGGCTTAAAAAAATAAAAAATAAAAAAACATTCCTATATTTTATTTTTTACTTGTAGTGTACACAAGCGGAGAACCTAGAGCTATGGTTCATACTTCTAACAGCATGAGAGGTTTAAATACCAGTATCTGGTAGAAAGAAAAAATATGTCTTGAGTAGCAGTAAATCGAATCTAGACTACTAAAGTACGTAACACAATCTAAATCAGAAAGCAGGATTGAGAAAAAAAGGGGCGAGAATTGTTTTCTTTGTAGAATCTTTGTTTCCAAGATAAGGTAGAACCTTTATTCGTCCCACAGTGGAGACATTTCAACGTCACAGCGCGTAGAGCAGCGATTCCCAAAGTGGGGTCTGGAGTAAGTAAGTAAGTAATCTTTATTTATATACCGCCTTTCACAGACCAGAGTCACAAAGCGGTTTACAATTGTTATTCTTGGGCATTTGTCCTCTCACTCCACACAGAGGCGGGAGCAGGGTCGCCAGTACAGGAGGCGCATGCCAGACCTTTTGTACATCTTTTTAGTGGTAGGGGAAACCGGAGTGCCCGGAGGAAACCTACGCAGATACGGGGAGAACATGCAAACTCCACTCAAAAAGGCCCTGGTCCGACCGGGATTCGAACCCAGGACCTCCTTGCTGAGAGGCGAGAGTGCTATCCTCTCAGCCACCTTTATGGGGGCCTCCAAAAAAGGTTGCAATTGATATTTATATTTAATACACATATATTAGACTGGGATACATACAAATACTGATTTTGACTTGTAAAATGTAGATTGTTAGTGAGAAGTCACTGTGGCCCACTAGACTTTGGGAACAGCTGTTATAGAGAAAACAAATCAATGATTGGCCCATTACTAAATTAGTTGTGAGTTCAATGTTTAGAAAAAAAGCTTTAAAAATTATAGGAGCTGCCATATTATCTTACCAATAATGGCTGCAAGTCAATAGTAATTGACATACATATCAGGTCACTAAAAATGTCCTTGCGAGCTAAAAAAGGTTATTTCCCCCCTTAAGACCTAAGTGAATTTGCATGTTTGGGAACAGACGGGGAGAGTAAGCTGCGCTGCTGGCCCCTTCTAAGAAAACCAGAATGTCCTTAATCAAATATAAACCTTTCTTAGGTCTTTAAACTTCAACAGTTGTGTTCCCTGTGACCTAGATTAACCCTCCTTTTGGAGATAATACTGCAGCATGCTTACTTTGCCTATCATGAAAAACAGTAATACAAAGAAAGAAATGATATAGTGTCTGTGTGTTCATTTCTGTCTGTATATAAATATATATTGTAATTTCTTAACATTTAAACGGCGGCTAAGATTTATAGATTAGAAGTATTGATCAGCACACAATGCCGCTGAGCTGGGGGCTGGTGGTTTGAGGCAAT